CGGCACCAGCGTTGAATCGAGCTTGATTGATGATGGTGTCAATGGCGATAGCGGTTTTTCTGAACATGTTGGGTTTTTCCGCAATATTATACAAGATCTACAGTTGTTCTGGGAAGTCATATGTATATGACCACTTTTTTGTATTTCTAAAGTGAAGTGTTGGATATAGATCGCGTTACAGGAGCATTCGCATTTGGAGTATTGAGTGTAGCTTTACAAGATAAAATGCTAAAGTGAGTCATCAAAACAAATTGGAAAGCCTCAAAAACTCTCAAAATGTTAAGAAATCAACTTAAGAAACTACTGCTTCTTTCGTAATCGAATGTATGAATTCGTAGCAAACTACAAAAATTCCGGTACTTTCCATTACCTGCACACATTTTCCAAGTGGTTTCCTTGTTATTATACAAAGTCGTATATCTTAATTGTCGAAGAGGCTTTCCCTAACCACGTTAGAAAAATTCGGTATGAAGGTTCCTGCGCAGTCATTAATTGTATTAGTTACCCTTTACCCAGTACATTTACAGTCTTCTGATATTGTGAGATGCGCTATAGACAGACATTGTGATTGTGCTCTTGGACCAGAAAATGGATTTTACATGCATAACCTAGAATTACATGGGAAGAGGTAAAGAAAATGAGCGTCATGAAGAGACGGTGCGCCATTACTAACACCCATGTCTTAGAAAGATTTGGTAACACAGCATTTAGAGCTATTGCGTCTGTTTGATTCAATTTCAGAAAGAAAAAAAATGTTTCACAAGTTGAGCTTGAGTTGTCTCCTCAATTTCAAAAGGCAAAAAAAAACTTTCAATACCCCCTTTGCTCTAATTGCGCCATGCAACCGTTTGGAAATTCGGTTGAAATAAGGGAATGCCGTTTTCTCATAAGGTGCCACTACGTACCTTTGCATAGATAATACAGCACATTTCAAAGCAGAACAAGTGGTTTAAGGGGTTCAGCAAAAAGGTTCAGATACCGAAAAAGTATCGAATTCCTTCTCGGACCTACTTCTCTATTGATCTTAAGGGAATTAACCCGTTTGAAAAAAATGTTCGATTTCCCGTGATTAGAAGAATTATGTGGAAAACAACATTCGTCTTTTATACAATCCTAATCTGACTAATGGGAAATGTGAACTGAAACTAGCATAAAGTGAAATTATAAAAGTATAAACTTAGCCTTGAAAGGTGGTGCATCAAGTAAGTAATGGACAAAATTATCAGTATCGAATTCTTAAGAATATGGCACATCCTTTAAATGCAAATGAAAAAGTTTGTTATGAATACCCTAATAGCCAATACTAGATCTCAAAAGCTGCTTGTGATTAAACAAGCAGTAATGTACGCGGATGCTGCTTCAAAAAATTAAAATTTTTGAACTACCCATTTCATTGCATTTCGCCCTGGGATGGACAACTTATACAAGTCTTTGCCAGTTTAGATGCTCCGAATAACTTGTGATGAGTTCGTGTATACGAAGAACATTTCTTGTACAGATAACTGTAAACCTAGAGGATAAGGATTCGAAATCAATAATTAGCTTGAAAACTAATTCTCGAATATCTATGTACTGTACATTAACGTATATAATTATTTTTTGCCTTAATGGTAGTAAAAATCGAAGTCATACTTGAAGCGAACTGAATTAAGGTTACCAACTTACCCAGTCTGACGATCTCCAATGATCAGTTCACGCTGTCCACGACCAATAGGTACTAGCGAATCGACGGCTTTCACTCCCGTAAGCATAGGTTCACGCACAGATAAACGAGGAATAATACCGGGTGCCTTGACTTCTACTCGAGATCTTGTTTTGCAGTTGACGGGTCCTTT